TTTGAATGGCAGAAAATTAAACAATAGACATGACAAAGTAGAAAATAGAACATAAACTATGTTTTGATCATCAATCACCATGGTTGTTTTGTTTTTTGAAAAATGGCAGTTTGAGTTAAAGTCCATTTTGTAAAATATGGTAAGCTGCTCCGAGCGCCCAGCTTATTTCATGCCCATCAATAGTATTTAATAACTAAACATCAAATTTATAATGAAATTAGATTATTTGAATATATATATATATATATATATATATAAATCATAATTGTGATATTAAAATAGTAAAGACTTACAGAAACTGAAGTGTCAACAGGTAAACCAAAACCTTGTTCCAATAATACAGAAATATAGGTTAAATCAAGGCATTTAAATGGACGTAACTCATTATAACTTGTTTGAGAACATTCTGAAAAAATTCAATTTATTATAAAAATAATTAATATTATAAATAATTATTAACAAAAACATTACCTTTCTCTGCTGCTTTATAAAATGATTTAATAGTAACATCTCCTCCTTCTTCRCCTGAAAATTAGAATAATAGCAATAAATCAAATGTTAACAATAATGTACAATACTATGTTTATGTTTAAAGTATAATACATACCGACAAGATCAGCATCTTGAGCTCTGTCATAAAAGTATGAAAATGCAACTATTTTCTGGTTGAGCAAATCTTTGGGTTTGTCAGTGTATACAGTCTTAACTACAGCTTCAATTATACTTTTACACAACAAGTAATCAACAGCTGGACCTTTTTTTGATGGTGCCCCACTAAAATTAATATTAAAATATGGTAATAACTAAGGCTCTGATTAGAATGATCTTTCAAAAAATATGAACGATACCAAAACATGTAACGGTGCAATAAAAAAAAACATATAGCTGATTGGTTATCTATATAATTGATCATCGACTAGATATATGTGATATTATAATACCAGAGCATTTAATGATATTTTATTATAATATATTTTGTACCTATTTACATATATTTTTTATATTAGTAGAAAAAAAAATTATAATAATTATAAAATATAATTGTTACTTTAAAAAACGGTTAAACATTTCCTTATACATAAAAGTTAAAAAAAATAGAAAAAACTGATGTAAACACACTATATATTTGAAATATTTGTATCGGTGTATATAATATATGTATTGGAAATCATTGGGTTTAACATTCCAGAAAAAAATACAATGCATCAAAATTCTAGACTCTAGTCCTAGTACTAAGTAATAACTAATACCAGGACTGTAGCTAGGAATTTTCTATGGGAAGCAGTGGCGGTCCTTGACCAATTCCAGGGGGAGGGGGCGAAATATTTTTCACATTAAATACAATACGTACTCAAAAATAGAAGTTATAAAAAAATTTATTGCATGTAATAATTTTATATTTAACCAAGAGGGGGGGGCCCACCCATATATCCATCGCCCTTCTCCTGTAAGACCACCACTGATGGGGAAGGGTCCATAATCCTTTCATACTGCCCCATAAAAGAATTTCCTAGTAACCACATAGTAAAATGCATGCAATGATTGGAATTAATTTGTCTCTATATTTTTTTATTATTAAAACTCTTATCAATTATCACAATAGGCACTATTAATACATCTTGGGCATCTTAAAAATTACTATAATATTATATTAAGTATTTATTCAGTTAAAAAAAAAAATGATTTGAAAAATAAACATTTTAAATTTTAGAATATACTAAACATTTTTACATTTTCTACTTACCTAACCTGTTAGCTACGGCCCTGACTAATACCTATAAAAGTAGATAGACTAAAGTAGTCAAAATGACTTCATATTTGTATCCTAAAACTCAACTTAGCTCACTTAGAAAATTGTTAATACAGCAATTAAAATTAAAAACTTACGTTATGTGATAGGTTTTTTGAGCAAATTTGTAGGGTGTTCCTTTAGCTGCTTCTTGAACACACGGACTAGTAACATTTAACAAATCACCATCTACAGTAAACACACTCTTTCGTGCAGCCATTAATCCCAACCCTAAATAACTAAAATGTATTTATTTTAATAGTTTGACATAATATGATATAAGTTTAATCTTAATATACCTGTGGCTATACAAATTAACTTTTTCATTCATTATCGAATACTCAGTAATAAATTCTGGTAATTCTTTTACAATTTGTTTACTATTAGTAGGGATAAATGTGATCTGTATAGATCCACCACCTAAATCAAGAGCAGCTACTGTATTTGTTAATTTACCATTCAAGCGATCTGGAAAAATGAATTAACTTTTATAGCTGCTTTATAAATAAATATATTGTGCATGTATATTTTTTTACTGAGAAGAAAATTGACTGTAAACCATGAAAAAAGACCCTCGTCAATACCATCCATTATGGCCACTGAATTTTTATTTGTATAAAATG